AGGATGCCTGTCATAGATGTGAGCGAAACTTCAGGAGAGAATACTTCTGGAACATGGCCATACAGCCCAGAAAACTCACAGGAACCCAAAGAGAACAAATTTGGAAATTCTCCAAAAAAGGCCATTTTATTTATTATTTAGTTATTTACAACATTACTACCCCGCCCTTCTCAACCTCCGCAGGGGGGACTCAGAGCAGCTAACAATGGCAACAATTTGATGCCACAAATATCACATTATAACACCAAAATAAAACCATACAAACACAATAGATAAAAACAAACATTAATTTTCCCTCATTTCGGTTATAGCTTTGTAAGCAACAAACATGGGTGCCCCTTCCTTCCTTACGCTTTGTCCTCCGTCTGTAGTAGCTTGCGGTTCTGAGAGACCCATCTCAGCAGATGCTCCAATCCCTCGCGGACGCTTTCATCCCGCCGCACATAGCGGTCATGGTAGCCATCCCGCAGGTCAAATCCCGGGGAGGGTCCCTCGATAGGAGGCGGGGCATAGTAGCGAAGTTTGCGAGCGTCCCCATGGTAGCAGCGCTGGCCATCGAGGGAAAAGTGTCCCATTTCGGACGGACGGCGGTAGAAAGGGAAAGGGCCATCGTAGCGGGAGGGGCCAGCAGGCAAGGTAGGGGGAACCTTTGGGTCAGTCCGTTGCCGCTTGGCGCTGCAGTCCTTCGGTACCTCCCTGTCCTCTTTTCGTTCACAAGTATCAGGGCTGAGAGACGTCTTCATTGACAACTGCAGTAGGAAAAGAGAAAATGTGAAATCCAACTTTTTGTTCAATTTGTTTCATCTAGCCATCCTGTAACAGGGCTGTGCTTAGTACAAAGTGCTAGTTTTGACCTTTAAAATCCTAGATGCACTGGGCCCAGGTTACTTACAGGACCTCCTTCACCCAGACCGTAGAATGACCTGCCAGATGAGCTCCAACAGCTAAACCAGCTGTTGGAGCTTAAAAGACAATTGAAGACCTGTCTCTTCTGGAGACCCAATCAGTGGATTTTTAACTATGAATTTTAAACTAATGCCCTATGTTTACTGTATTTTAACCTTTATTCTGTTTATTTTAATATATGCATCTCACAGAAATACATTATGTATTTTAAATATGAAGTGTTTTCAACACAGTGAATCACAGTGCTCTCTGGACCATCCTCCAAAATTCCTGCGGCTCCTCCATGATGACATGATGCCAACAGTCTTGGACAGCAATAGCTCCCAAAGTGACCCATTTAAGGTGGAATCAGGTGTCAAACAGGGATGTGTTATTGCCCCAACCTTATTTTCCATCTTCATCACTATGATACTGCACCTTGTTGATAGAAAGCTTCCCAATGGCGTGGATACTATCCATCGGACAGACGGCAAGCTATTTAACCTTAGCAGACTGAAAGCCGAAACCAAGGTCACAACAACATCTGATATAGAACTCCAATATGCTGATGATAATGTAGTCTGTGCTCATTCAGAAGAAGACCTACAAGCCACACTAAACACCTATGCAGAAGTATACAAGAAAGGAGCCCCTGGTGGTGCACTGGATTAAACCCCTGTGCCGGCAGGACTGAAGACCGACAGGTCGCAGGTGGATGAGCTCCGTCTATCAACTCCAGCTCCTCATGTGGGTACATGAGAGAAGCCTCCCACAAGGATAAAAACATCAAATCATCCGGGCGTCCCCTGGACAACGTCCTTGCAGACGGCCAATTCTCTCACACCAGAAGCGACCTGCAATTTCTCAAGTCACTCCTGACACGACAAAAAAAAAAAAAAAAGTATACAAGAGGTTTGGCCTCTCACTGAACATCCGGAAAACCAAGGTGCTCTTTCAGCAGGTACCAGCCAATTCCTCTGCAATGCCAGAAATACAATTTAATTGTGTAACATTAGAAAATGTTGACCATTTTCACTACCTTGGCTGCCACCTCTCCACAAAAGTCAACAACGACAAAGAAATACAACGCCATCTGAGTTCTGCAAGTGCAGCGTTCTTCCAAATGAAGCAGAGAGTGTTTGAAGATTGGGACATTTGTAGGGATATCAAGATGCTTGTTTATAAAGCTATTGTCCTCTCCGCCCTGCTATACACCTGCGAAACATGATCATCTATAGACGCCACACTCAGCTCTCGTTCCTCTGCCTTTTCTAAATATATGTTTAAATATATTATTTTTATTATTACTGCAAATACTATTGTTGTTATTATGCAAAGATACAGAATGGGGGACAATGCCTGGCTCGAGAGCAGTACGTGTGAAAAAGATCTTGGAGTCCTTGTTGACAACAAGTTAAACATGAGCCAACAATGTGATGTGGCGGCAAAAAAAGCCAATGGGATTTTGGCCTGCATCAATAGGAGCTTACTTACTTACTTAGGCGATCCCTCGTTGGACGAGTAAGATGGTCTTCCATTATGGATTTCCTTGTGGGTCCGTATGTGGCTGTGGAGCCCTATTCTTGCTCTGCATCTTCTTCCGCAGTGAGGGCATTGGTTTCCAGGTGGAAGGCGGTCCCGGTCGGGGTTGGCTTGACGCGCCTTCCTCCTGGCACGTTTCTCTCTTTCACCCTCTACTCGTGCCTCCTCAAATTCTGCAGCACTGCTGGTCACAGCTGTCCTCCAGCTGGAGCACTCAAGGGCCAGGGCTTCCCAGTTCTCAGTGTCTATGCCAGAGTTTTTAAGGTTGGCTTTGAGCCCATCTTTAAATCTCTTTTCCTGTCCACCAACGTTCCGTTTTCCGTTCTTAAGTTCGGAGTAGAGCAACTGCTTTGGGAGACGGTGGTCAGGCATCCGGACAACGTGGCCGGCCCAGCGGAGTTGATGTTGGAGGACCATCACTTCAATGCTGGTGGTCTTTGCTTCTTCCAGCACACTGACGTTTGTCTGCTTGTCTTCCCAGGAGATTTGCAGGATTTTCCGGAGGCAGCGCTGATGGAATCGTTCCAGGAGTTGCATGTGACGTCTGTAGACAGTCCACGTCTCACAGGCATATAGCAGGGTTGGGAGGACAATAGCTTTATAAACAAGCACCTTGGTATCCCTACGGATGTCCCGGTCCTCAAACACTCTCTGCTTCATTCTGGAAAATGCTGCACTTGCAGAGCTCAGGCGGTGTTGTATTTCGGCGTTGATGTTGACTTTGGTGGAGAGGTGGCTGCCAAGGTAGCGGAAATGGTCCACATTTTCTAATGTTACACCATTAAGCTGTATTACTGGCATTGGAGAGGGATTGGCTGGTGACTGCTGGAACAGCACCTTGGTTTTCTCAATGTTCAGTGACAGGCCGAGCTTCTCATATGCTTGTGCGAAGGTGTTTAGAGTGGCTTGTAGATCTTCTTCTGAATGCGCACAGACGACATTGTCATCAGCATACTGGAGTTCTATAACAGATGTTGTTGTAACCTTGGTTTTGGCTTTCAGTCTGCTGAGGTTGAATAGCTTGCCATCTGTCCGATAGATTATTTCCACTCCGGTGGGAAGCTTCCCATCAACAAGGTGAAGTATCATAGCGATGAAGATGGAGAATAGAGTTGGGGCAATAACACATCCCTGTTTGACACCTGATTCCACCTTAAATGGGTCACTTTGGGAGCCACTGCTGTCCAAGACTGTTGCCATCATGTCATCATGGAGGAGCCGCAGGATGTTCACAAATTTGTTAGGGCACCCGATTTTGTGGAGGATGGTCCATAGAGCGCTGCGATTCACTGTGTCGAATGCCTTTGCAAGGTCGATGAATGCCATGTACAGGCTATTCGGGAAGGCATTTAATTGAGACCTACACGAATCTGGTAATGACATCTGGAACGGACTATGGATTATGAGTTTGGCTATGTCTCTATGTTGTGATGGCGCGGATTTATTAGTGTGATTTAGATTAATGTGTAATTTGGTTGTTGATATATTGTATGTTTTTGTAGACTGTTTTTACATGTTGTACACCGCCGCGAGTCGCCCCAGGGCTGAGAGCGGCGGTCAACAAATGAAGTAAATAAATAAATAAATAAATAATTCACTGAAGAGATAATAGGAGCATAGTGTCTAGATCTAGGGAAGTCATGCTACCCCTCTATTCTGCTTTGGTTAGACCACACCTGGAATATTGTGTCCAATTCTGGGCACCACAATTCAAGAGACATATTGACAAGCTGGAATGTGTCCAGAGGAGGGCGACTAAAATGATAAAAGGTCTGGAGAACAAGCCCTATGAGGAGCGGCTTAAGGAGCTGGGCATGTTTAGCCTGAAGAAGAGAAGGCTGAGAGGGGATATGATAGCCATGTATAAATATGTGAGAGGAAGCCACAGGGAGGAGGGAGCAAGCTTGTTTTCTGCTTCCCTGGAGACTAGGACGCAATGGAACAATGGCTTCAAACTACAAGAGAGGAGATTCCATCTGAACATGAGGAAGAACTTCCTGACTGTGAGAGCCGTTCAGCAGTGGAACTCTCTGCCTCAGAGTGTGGTGGAGGCTCCTTCTTTAGAAGCTTTTAAACAGAGGCTGGATGGCCATCTGTCAGGGGTGATTTGAATGCAATATTCCTGCTTCTTGGCAGGGGGTTGGACTGGATGGCCCATGAGGTCTTTTCCAACTCTTTGATTCTATGATTCTATGATCAACAACAACAATAACACTAATAGAGCCTAGGCAGCAGCAGCACCCACTGGGGAGGATTCAGGTCACAAAACCAAAAGAAGCAAAACCTCTTCGCTTTCTGTTCTGACCCTTCCCGGCACTTGTACTGACCTGTTCTGACGTCATCGCAGGGCAGCCAATCGCTCGCCTCCCAGAGGACCGAGGGAACGCGAAGCCAAGCTGCCTTGTTTCCTTTCACGCTCTCCTCTCAGCCATTTACTAACACGCCCGACATCTTGACCCAAAACAACGCCAGGTTTCGTTTCTTGGCGGCAGCGACGGCGTGATGACGCCATCCCCAGCCGCCGCTCGGAAGCTTCGTTCCCTTTCCTAACTTGCCTTTACCAAAGATGGCGGCTTACAGTCTGGCAGGAAAGCCCATTGGCCGGCTCAAACTGTCAATCACGCCTTTTCGCCCAATGAGGAGCGAGTATGCAAATAAGGCCCCGGGCCTGGAGAACAGCGTGACGTCAAAGCAAAAGCAGGAGGAAGAAGGCAGCTGAGGAAGGAGGGTTGGGTGTGTGGCTGAAGCTCCCTAAGCAGGGCCAGCCCTGGTGAGTGGGAGACCGGAAGAAAACTTGCCTTTAAAGATTAATGGGATTATGTATTGTCGAAGGCTTTCATGGCCGGAATCACTGGGTTGTTGTAGGTTTTTTCGGGCTGTATGGCGTCTAGAGGCATTCTCTCCTGACGTTTCGCCTGCATCTATGGCAAGCATCCTCAGAGGTAGTGAGGTCTGTTGAACTAGGAAAATGAGTTTATATATCTGTGGAATGACCAGGGTGGGACAAAGGACTCTTGTCTGCTGGAAGTAGGTGTGAATGTTTCAACTGACCACCTTGATTAGCATTTAATGGCTTGGAAGTGCCTGGGGCAATCTTTTTTTGAGAGTTGATTATTATATATTAGGGCTGGGCGGTTTCGTTTCGTAATTTCGTAATTCGTTAAAAATTCGTTATTTTTTTTAATAACGAAGCGATATTGAACCATTCAGGAGCAACTAAAAAACGAAACGAATTTTTCCAATTCATTTCGTAATTGTTTCGTTATTGATTCGTTATTGATTCGTAAATGTTTCGTTATTATTTCCGCATGTCTGGTGCAAGTTTTAGGGTTGCTGTTTGTTTTCTCAGTGAAAAAATATATAATTATCACACCAACAGTCAACAACAGAGGGAGAGGGAAGCTTCAGAAGTTTTTTTAGCGTATTGCGCGATCGCGGCCGCCATTAACGAATCGATTCGTAATTGTTTCGTAATTGTTTTATGATTTCCGAAATTTCGTAAATATCGAACTTTTTTTTAGGAAAATTTCGGAATTCTTTTAAATAACGAAACGCAAAAAACCCCTAAGAACGAATCGAGTTTAGAAACATTTTTTTCCGTGTTTGGACAGCCCTAATATATATATATATAGGTAAAGGTAAAGGTTTCCTTTGACATTAAGTGTAGTTGTGTCCGACTTGGGGTGTGTGTGTGTGTGTCTGTGTGTGTGCTGATCTGTATTTCTAAGCCAAAGAGCCAGCATTGTTCGTAGACACCTACAAGGTCATATGGCCAGCATGACTGCATGAACGGTTTGGGACCAGCCTACCTGCGTGACCGCATTTCCATCTACGAACCCACGCGTTCTCTTTGGTCATCTGGAGAGGCCCTGCTCGTGATCCCACCAGCGTCGCAAGCGCGCTTGGTGGGGACGCGGGACAGGGCCTTTTCCGTAGTGGCCCCCCAACTCTGGAACACCCTCCCCAAAGACCTTAGACAGGCCCCTTCTTTGGCTATCTTCAGAAAGAACTTAAAAACCTGGCTTTTCCGATGCGCCTTCCCAGATTAGGAAATCTCCATTACCGAGTCCTACAAGCACTTTACCAGAACCAATGATTGCTGCACACTGCACATTGCACTTGCCCTAGAAACCCTTTATACACCTCCTGTCAAATCAGCACTTTTAATCCTTGTACCCACTTTTTTGGCCCGGCCCAGTTTTATTGTGTTTTAATGTACTGTGCCTGTTGTTTACTTTGCTTTATTTTGTTTTAATTGTTTGATTTGCTTGATTGTGTTGTTATGTTGTGTTGTTGAGGCCTCGGCCTGTGTAAGCCGCATCGAATCCTTTGGGAGATGCTAGCGGGGTACAAATAAAGTTTAATAATAATAATAATAATAATAATAATGAAGCACTGTTACCTTCCTGTAGAAGCAGTACATATTGATCTACTCACATTTGCAAGTTTTCGAACTGCAGAAGCTGGGGCTAACAATGGGAGCTCATGCCACTCCCCAGATTCGAACCGCCAACCTTTTGGACAGCAAGTTCAGCAGCTCAGTGGTTTAACCTGCTGTAATACTGGGGAGGGGGCGTGGATAGATAGATAGATAGATAGATAGATAGATAGATAGATAGCTTTGGATAACATAGAATCATAGAATCAAAGAGTTGGAAGAGACCTCATGGGCCATCCAGTCCAACCCCCTGCCAAGAAGCAGGAATATTGCATTCAAATCACCCCTGACAGATGGCCATCCAGCCTCTGTTTAAAAGCTTCCAAAGAAGGAGCTTCCACCACACTTCGGGGCAGAGAGTTCCACTGCTGAACGGCTCTCAGTCGGGAAGTTCTTCCTCATGTTCAGATGGAATCTCCTCTCTTGTAGTTTGAAGCCATTGTTCCGCGTCCTAGTCTCCAAGGAAGCAGAAAACAAGCTTGCTCCCTCCATAGGGAAGGCTTAACACCCCCGTGGTGTTTGTTTTCTTGTCCGTGCCCCTCTTCAGAAGATTTCACTTCTCTTTCTGTCATTGGGACCACTGGATTTTGAAAAAAAAATGGCTTGTTGTGGAAACAAGGATTGGTGCTAAAGTTCCAGTGGAGACATCTTTTCCACATTATAATAACTCTTCCCAGAGTGAATTTTGCTTCCTAGTAGTAGATTAATTTCACTTCCTGTTGTCTCACCCCCATTCTTAACTATGAGCCGTTTCTAAGCCAGATGTTTGTAACTCAGGAATGGACAGTATATCAAGGAAGGGGGAATTCTATAAATCAGGTAAAATAAGAAACAGCAACACCGAATCTGAACTAATCCTAAGACAAATCCCTATCTGATCTAATTGCTATAGGTCTGATGCTCATCCTTCTTGTTTGACTAGTTTCCTATCCTGGCATACACAAAACATTGAGGAGCTGCAGTTCTTCCTGGCATAGTAATGTAGTCATAAGGAAATGCGGCGATTTTGTGCTTAATTGTAGAGTTGGGAGAGACACCATCTAGTCCAACCTCATTTTGCCAGGCGGGAATGCATACATAGTCATACCACTCCCAGCAGATGTCAATCCCATCCTGAAAGTTATTATCATGGGGAAAAGGTGTCTCCACAAAAGGTATATCACCAATCCTTGCTTCCACAACAAGCCAAATTCTCAAAATCCCATTTTCACAGGGACAGAAATTGAGTTGAAATTTTCTGACTAGGGGCACAGACAGCAAAACAAAGAATGTATATATTACCTATCCAAAGCTCATAATAATTAATAATAAATGTATATCTCCCCTGGGGGACTCAGGGTAGTTTATACATACAAAGACAAATATTCAGTGCCCGGCGCATGGATATATATATATATATATATATATATATGTATGTATGTATGTATGTAAATTTATTTATTTATTTATGATATTCTATCCTGCCTTTCTCGAACCTGAAGGTGACTCAAGGCAGCTTACAACTTGGCTGGAGTTAAAAATGCACCTGTTCTGACTTGCAAACATATTCAACTAAAGAACAAACCTACAGAACCTATCTCATTCATAAATTGGGGACTACCTATATTTTAAAACAAATGAATGATAGGTTTGTGTGAGATATGTTATGTCCCCTTACATTTCGTTACAGGAGAGTTTCGCTTATCCAACCTTCTCTTATCCAACTTTCTGTATTATCCAACACAGTCTGCCTCCCACCCAGATCCACAGCTGTTTCAATACATTGCGATGTTTTGATGCTAAATTCATAAATGCACTAATTACTATATAACGTTACCGTGTATTGAACTGCCTTTTCTGTTGATTTGTTGTAAAACATGATAATTTGGTGCTTAATTTGTAAAATCATAATTTAATTTGACGTGTAATAGGCTTTTCCTTAATCCCTCCTTATTATATTCTGCTGGCCTGTTTATGTTGGATAAGCGAGACTTTACTGTATTAAATTTTATGTATATGTCTGTATCGCTTATAAGAGGTGGTAGTGTGGACCCAGATAACCTAGTTCAAAGCTGATATTGTGGATTATCTGCCTTGATATTCTGGGTTATATGGCTGTGTGGAAGGGCCCTTGGATACCAAGACAAAAAAATGTTGGGCTGTGCTATGAAACTGTAGTGGAATAGCAGGTTGGTGTGATAACATCCCTAAGCTGCTGTGTGAATGTAACCATGCAAACCAATTCTTTTCCACATGTAATATACAACTAGACTAGGGGCCATTCCACACAGCCCTATATCCCAGAATATCAAGGCATAAAATCCCACAATGTCTACTTTGAACTGGGCTATCTGAGTTCACACTACGAAATATTCCAGTTCAAAGCAGATAATGTGGAAGGGGCCTAGCTTTCCTTCTCTCCCTTAGAAATATTGCTGGTATAAATCTAAACTGAATTACCGTGTCACAAAATGGTGCATGTCTAAGACCAAAGCAGCTGGATGCCCAAAACCATGAGAACCATTATTACATTAGATTGTAAGATTATAAAATTAGATTATAAGGGGAAGTGATGACTGTGTATTCTACATGTATTTTGAGGGAAAGGAACACTTAATTGCTTTACATAGAAAGTGTTGAGAAGGTGGTGGATACCCATGAATTTTTAGTGGGGATTATTATCTTTCAAAAGGTATCTAGTTTAGAGGTGATTTAAAAAAGGTAGCCATTTGAGAAACGGGGACCCAAACAAACAGTGTCAACTGACCACTTACATCAATGGTTCTCAACCTGTGGGTCCAGATGTTTTGGCTTTCAACTCCCAGAAATCCTAACAGCTGGTAAACTGGCTGGGATTTCTGGGAGTTGTAGGCCAAAACACCTGGGGACCCACAGGTTGAGAACCACTGCTTAAGTCATATCTTGGTCTTCCACCCATAGTGCTTCCCTCCAGCCACATGAAGAGGAAACAGCTCCTTTCTGATACGTTCAAGGCCAAGAAACAGAAGCTGGCGTTTGGATCAGAGCCTTCAGAACAAGGTGGGAACAAGAAATGTTAAATCTTAAATTGGAGTGATGGAAAGAGGGAGAACCAGGAGATGTTGGAGAGTGGTTCCTGGTCAAAGTGGTCCCCGGTCAAAAAAGGTTGGGAACCATTGATCTAAACTGTAGAATTAATGCAGTTTGAAACTGCTATGGCTCAATGCTATGGAATCCTGGGAGTTGTAGGTTGACAAGGTCTTTAGGCTTCTCTGCCAACAAATCTACAAAGACAAAGCATTGAGGCATGGCAGTTCAACTGGGTCAAACTGCATTGCTTCTACAGTGTAGAGCAGGCATGGACAAACGTTGGCCCTCGAGGTGTTTTGGACTTCAGCTTCCGCAATTCCTAACAGCCTAGCTGTTAGGAATTGTGGGAGTTGAAGTCCAAAACACCTGGAGGGCTAAAGTTAGCCCATGCCTGGTGTAGATGCACCCTGAAAGAGGGATTGCTGCGTTCCAGGAATACTGAGGTCTTATTACATGTGTTATTTCTGTTCCAGAGGGCCCCGAAGCAGTGGATTCTGCTCTCCAGTATTTAGTCTCTCTCTTCCCTCGCAAGTTGTTTGAGGATTCCCTGCCGCCCTTGATCCTGAGGCACCAGATCTACAGCCTTGTCAAAGACCGCACAACTGTGGACAGGCGCCTGGTAGGAGACCCCCTTCCTTTGATTTCTTCCACCCCTATCTACCAAGGCGTTTTGTGGTCCAGAACAACATCGCTTTTCCTCCATTTGGTTGCTGTAATTCTTTAGCAACACTTAATCTATGGGCAAGTATCCTTAATTGAAGATCTGTTAGCAGCTCACATCTTTCTAGTGTAATCATGGGTCCCAACTTCGCTGACCCAGCCATGTTGTCTGAATGCCTGATCACCATCTTCCAAAGCATTTACTCTGCTTTGCTCAAGAATGGAAACTGCAATGTCTGTGGACAGCAAAAGAGATTTTAAAATGAGCTTAAAGTTAACAAAGAGGGGCTTTTAACACAATAGGCACTGTTTAGTGTGGTATTGTTTATTATGATTTTTTTATTATTGAATGTGGTTGGGTTTTAAATGCTATTTATTAAGTTATATCTGTATGTATGTACGTGTTGGCACTGAATACTTGCCTTTTATGTTAGCCACTCCGAGTCCCATATTGGGAGATAAGGCAGGATATAAATAATTTTTTATTATTTATTAGGTATAAAGGTTTCCCCTGATATTAAGTCTAACCGTTCCAACTCTCGGGGGCAGTGCTCATCTCCATTTCTATCCGAAGAACCAGCATTGTCTGTAGACACCTCCAAGATCATGTGGCCAGCATAACTGCATGGAGCACTGTTACCTTTCCACAGAAATGATACCTATTGATCTATCGCATTTGCATGTTTTCGAACTGCTATTATTTATTATTATTATTGAAAAATGTGGCATAAACACTGGGAACTGAAAAGCCCTGCCCCTCAAGCATCTAAATCAGGCATGGGCAAACTTTGGCCCTCCAGATGTTTTGGAGTTCAATTCCCACAACTGTGGGAGTTGAAGTCTAAAACACCTGGAGGGCCAAAGTTTGCCCATGCCAGGTCAGCAGTTACTAACATGCTGTGGATTTTGAAGAGGCATAAATGGAGGGAGAATCGTGCCAAGAGGAAGGTGTATCAGGCAAACCCTTGTTGGTCTCGCCTTCCTTCTGGAAATATATGTTCTCAGTGTGAAAGACTATTCAGATCCAGAATAGCTCTCTACAGTCATGTACAGACCTATCGCCAAGCCGCACTGAGTCCCTTGGGGAGATGGTAGCAGGGTACAAATAAAGTTTTATTATTATTATTAAGTGCTAAAGGTGCATCAAAACTGTAGAATGAATGCAGTTTGATACCACTTTTAACTTCCATTTCTCAATCTAAGGATTTCCACTTTGGTGAGGCACTTATCTCTTTGGAAGAGGGTTAAAGACTGTTTAAAATGACAGTTCCCAGGATTGCATGACATTGAGCCATGACAGTTAAAGTAGAATCAAACTACATTCATTCCACGGTGTAGATGCACTCTAATGCTGGTTGGAGCAGTAGGGAACCTGGTGGCTTTAGCACTACACCTAAAAGTTTTGTGCTTTTAGAGCAGCTAAATGTAAGAAGAACGACATTGTCCTCACTGTTTACGTGTCATTTTGAAAATAAACGAAGAGTAAATCAATCGTTTTCTCCCTTTAGAGCCAACTGAAGGATGAGGGCCGGATCCGGATATTCCAGCACGGCTTGGATGCAGAAACCTTTTTTGTGACATTTACAGACAACTATAAATCAAAGGTTTTAACCATGTCCTGGAGGTTTGTGGGTTGGCCAGAGATGCAGAGACACGTGGAAGATAGTAATGGCTCTTTTCCCATCTCCGTCAGGTGCTGGAGTTTGCATCTGGAAAGGAATTTGCTCGAACAGTGACCAAGTTTTTGGATTCTGTCGTTACCTCCTGCCCTGACATCAGCTATGACAAGAAGAGAATGCTGAATGAATTTGGCTTTCGGGACACTGAGATCACGTGAGTAAATGTTTCTCTGGCTGGGTGGCAAAGAGGCAAGAGGGTACTCCTGTGAAGCAAAGATATTTTAAGATCCTTGTAAATGAGTAAGTATATATAGGTAAGTCCCCCACATCTACGGGACTGATGTTCCCGGCTGGATCTTTTAAATATGAAACCGCAGATATAAATGAACACCGTTAAATAACGGGCTGGCCTTTGTGTTTACTTCCAACATTATGATGCTATGAAATTACCTCACAGAGTTGCATTGGAGGGTCTAGAGTTTCCTAGGGAGTTACTCTCTGACATAACTCCATGATAACATCTTGGAAAATTGTACGATAGAATTACCTGGAGCACTTAAAAATGTCTAAAGAGACTTATTTTTCCTGAGACAAGAGTAAATGACAACACAGAACTGGGGGTCTTTCCACACAGCCCAATATCCCAGAATATCAAGGCAGGAAATCTCACATTATCTGAGTGTGGACTCAAATAACCCAATTCAAAGCAAATATTGTGGGATTTTCTGCCTTGATAGTCTGGGATATAGGTCTGTGTGGAAGGCCTCTGGATTATATATGTCATTTCCTAATTTGTTCTATAATAAAAACATGGAAAAAGTGTGCTAGACATTTGCGGGACATCCTGTAGCACATTTTGCTATAGTTTTTCAATGAATATCTCATAAAGTTTCAACCATTTCAAACATGGTTTGTGGCAGCCACAAAAAATGAAGTTCCTGGAGTATAACAAAGCCAGTACTGCAGAATTAAATAGAAAATAAAATTTTCAAACCAGAAACAGAAAAAAAATCAAATTTTGTTACATAGTGTAATATATAGCTGCCTTCTCTACATCATGTTGTTGTTATGTTTATGTCTTTATAGTTGTTATTCTGGTTATTATGTTTCTTTATACCACACTTATTCTCTTCACAAAAGAGATTCAAAGCTGAAGAATTTTTAAAACCATGGAGAAAGAAAAGCTGTGTTTATACAGGAATGCAAGAGTACACTTTTAAGGGAAAGTTGCAGCACATCCATGCAGTCAATAAAGCAAAGGGAATTAAGATTTGTGATGTAGTATTCCACGGTGTTCCCCTCTTGTGTTTGTGTTCAGGCAGCTGGTGAATGCTGGGGTCCTGACTGTCCGTGATGCTGGGAGCTGGTGGCTGGCTGTACCCAGAGCAGGCCGTTTTGTCAAATACTTCATTAAAGGTTATTTGCAACCTTCATTTCCTTCTGAAAAAGAGCAATGCAATGTTCCCTCATTTATTGTGTGGGTTATGTTCCAGGACCTCTGCAATAAGTGAAAAACCGCAATGTAGGGACGCTCTATTTATTTTAATATTTCTACATTATTTTAGTAGTTATACACTATTTTAGGTCTTTACAAACTTAAAATAAAGGAAGGAAAGGCCCTTTAAGGCTGGTGGGAGGGAGGGAGGACTGAGGAGGGAAAGCGCTTCAGAGAGCGGCGGCGGCAAAAGACCATAAAATAGTGAAAATACCATGATATATATTTTAAATCAATATCTGTTATTTCAGATAGGCCTAGTTTCTTAGTCTTTATGTCTTAAAATCTTTTCACAGATCTTTGGGTTCCTTTTTGAATTATTAAAATTTGCAAGGTCTGTTACATGATGTTTTTTTTCTCTGCTGGGTTATTGTATTTTTAGTGGTTTTGTTTATTTATTTATTTATTTATTCATTCATTCATTAATCCGCCTTGAGTCCCCTGTGGGGTGAGAAGGGCAGTATTTCTATTCCGCCCTTCTCACCCCACAGCGGACTCAGGGTGGATTACAATGCACTTATACATGGCAAACATTCAATGTCGTTTAGACATACAACATATATAGACAACACAGAGGCAATATAACTTTCCAGCTTTTCCGGCTTCATGAGGGTATACTTGGATCAGGCCACAGGGGGAGCTGCTGCTTCACTGTCCACTTGTGACACTGGGTCCTTTGATGGAGTACTTCCTCATTCTTCTGCACACTGCTGGAAGCTTTTATGGTGTCATAAATTAGTTAAATTAACCTCCTCACACAAAGCGGTACCAAAATTTCCTACTTGACAGATGCAACTGTCTTTTGGGCTGCATAGGTCGACAGCAAGCTAGACTATTAATAGTCGGAATCTTACTCCGACCTGGGCTGGATTAGAACTCATGACCTCTCGGTCAGTAGTGATTTAATGCGGCTGGATACTAACTAGCTGCTCCATCTTACACTTTTCATCTTACACTTTTCCCACTTGCGACCCCTTTCTGTTTGAGAAATGTTAACTAGAGCCCGAGTATATAGGTGTATAATAAAATAGGTATAAAAATCAAACATTTACTGATATATAATCAGCATTTGCAAAGTTTGCTATACAGGCTGATATTCTTTGTTATGAAGTACAGCTGAAACATATTATTATTATTATTATTATTATTATTATTATTATTATTAGTCCCCCAGGGGTGAGAAAGGTGGTATATAAGTACTATAAATAAATAAATAAATAAATATTATGCTTATTGTGTTGTGAGCTGCTTTGAGTTTCCATATGGAGAGAAAAAGAAGGATATAAATACACTTAATAATAATAATAATTTATACCCCACTCTTTCTCTCCTATAGGAGACTCTTCTCCAAAGTCCACTGTAAACACTGCAAGGTGTTGCTGATAGGTTCGTGTAAATGGGTGCCATTCAGAAATCCTTCCTGTTGCCATTTTTGTGACCCCCAACATTGAACTAAGAGGACCACATTTAGGGTCAGGACCCACAGTTTAGGAAACAGTGTTTTAGAGACCTAGAGAGCTTTCATTTATTGAGTAGCAGATATCAGAAATGAGTAAGACTGGAACCAACTCTGAAGACAACATCCTGTTCATTTATGTATCTTTTTCCCAGGGAGAAAAGCTGTGCTGGGTATGATCCAGAAAGCCAAATACAAGGAAGTTCTACTGTCTGATTTACAGAACCGTCAGACTCCACGTGCTGTGAAACTGGGGATTCCCTACCACATACATGACATCATTGGAGCCCAGCTGGTCGACTGGTATTAGTTTTTCCCCTCTTTTTCTTGCACCATTTCCCAAAAGCCAAGAAATCTTGCCCATCTTTGATTGTGTGTTCCTGCATGGCAGAATGAGGTTGGACTGGATGGCCCTTGTGGGCACTGATTCAGAAAATTGCATTGGATGGACCATCTCAGTTTTGGTTTCTCAGATATAGTTATCATGGCTTTCTATGGATGAGCAAATGGTGATGGGAATCGCAAAAACTAGAGCTGATAGGTAAAAAACCGATGCCGTTTTTGGAATTAGGAGGTCAAATATACCCAGAAACAGGGCTAACATTGGAGGTACCAAAATGTGTGTTGACCAGTTCTATTTTTATTATTCCTTTGCCAACATTTGTAAGATCATTGTGTTATTTTTTAATAACCTGAGAGACTTCTCTATCTCTTCCAGTGTGCCAACCACGACAGGAACGCTCCTCCGACTAGCTGATGATTAAACACAAACCTTGCTATCGTCTATCAGAGTTGTGCTTGAAACGATTTTTACTTGGGACTATTGGAGGTGATTCTGGCATGTGAGAATCTTTCTTTGAACTAAAAGCCACAGAAAAACAACTTTTACTTATGAACAGATAACGCATTTTGCACTTAGTATGGTTCTATGTGAAGAGAGCACTTCAGCAGGACATATAACTGCGAAGTTATGTTTACAATGTCAGAGAAGACTGTGATGAGAATAGGACTTTGAACTGTGATCTTTGGCCATAATCTGAAGATAGTGAAGCATATTATGCCTACCCATCTAGGGTAGGAACACCCAATGTTAAACATTTTCTACACTTAATTCATTACGGTGTTTGGAGTGGGTATGTCCCATGCACTCAGGTCTTTGGGCTGCCAAGAAATTCAAATGCCTTGAATTAAAAACTATATCTTTCTCTCTTGCCTTTTGTTTATTCTTTTTTTCCAGTAATGGCCAAATGTTGTGATGCTATGGTCTGTTCCAAGAGAGGTTCAACAGTAGGACCTGTGCACTGAAATCATAAGCATCTGGCCCTATTATGTGTAAATACATCTAGGAAAGAGCTCTGTCTGAATGTTATAGTTGCTGCCAGTCAGTGGAAGCTATAGAGTGTTCCCTCGCTACTTCGCAATTCGCTTATTGTGGACTCGCTGTTTCGCGGATTTCAAAAAACATTAATTTAAAATATATATCATGGTATTTTCGCTGTTTTGTGAGGTTTTGGCCGCCGCTGGTCTTCAAGACGCTTTCCCTCCTCAGTCCTCCCTCCCTCCAGCCTTGAAGGGCCTTTCCTTCCTTTCCTTCACTTTATTTTAAGTTTATAAAGATTTAAAATAATAATAATAATAATAATAATAATAATAATAATAATAATCTTTATTTATACCCCACTACCATCTCCCCAAAGGGGACTCGGGGTGGCTTACATGAGTATAGTATGACTACTAAAATAATGTATAAATATTAAAATAAATAGAGCATCCCTACATCGTGGTTTTTCACTTATTGCGGGAGGTCCTGGAACCTAACCCCAGCAATAAGTGAGGGAACACTGTACTGTGCAAGTTATACCATTGGATTGACAGTGTAAGCAGATTCCTCTGTTCTCTTGCTTGGACTGTTTTCACTGGAGCTGTCAAAGACTTAAACATAGGTATCTAAGAATACCTATCTGGTCAAGCATTGTGTTAACCATGTCCAACTTAATGCTCCAATGAGAAAGTCCTACAATCAAAGTGAGAGCATGGTTGCACTTTCCCACCAGCCACTATTTCTAAAAGTATATCTGGAAATTGATAGATAGATAGCTCTTGACATCTGGTGAGTTTGGTTCCAAGAGTGTTCTTGAATCTCAGAATCCCAGGATTTTCAAGGTATATTATATACAGTAGTATTTAAAATGGTGTCCCTTATATGACACGAGAATAACTCAAATGAGAGCCTGAGGATCCGCCCTGAGTCCCCCCTAGGGGTTGAGAAGGGCGGGGTACCAAATTATAACAGTAAATAAAGAAATAATAGAGGAAATTTTCCAAACATGGAGATTGGACATGGAAATTGAGAGCGAAGACATCCAAAGGAAAATAAGTAATATAGCAAAAGAAAAGTATAATGTATTAAGGGGAGCAAGAAGGAAAATGTTACAAAAATGGTACAAAACTCCTGCACAACTTTCACACTTTGTACCAGGGATCAAGGATAGGTGTTGGCATGGCAAAGAGGGGTGTTTAATCATATGATATGGGAATGTGATCAACTGCAAGAATACTGGAAAAGTATTGAAGGGGAAATCAATAAAATGTTAAATTTACAAATAGTAATAATTAATAGAAATATACTACATGCACGGATAGCAGGATTGAAGAATATACAAAAGGAAAAATTGGTTGACAAATTAATCGCGTGTGCACAAATTGTTTTAGTGAGGGGTTGGAAAGACAAAACAAAATGGACACTGATTAATTGGTATAACAATATAGTTAATATGTTAAATGTGGAAATAACAAATTGCAAATGGAATAATATAGATAAAATTGAAAATGTTACAATAACTAAGAGGATGTGGGAACCAGTTAGGAATTATTTAGAGAATGTGTTAAGATGTGGAGTAGAAAAATTAAGACTGAGACTGATATTTCAAATGTATCTTCTGTAGTTTGATGTATAAATGGCATGTACAAGGAGGGGAGGGTGGGAGTGGGAAAAACCAATAAAACAATTAAAAAACAAAAAAACTCAGAAAAAAAAACAGAAGGGCGGGGTAGAAATGCTCGAAATTGAAATAAATCTATGAAACGGCAGCAGGATACAACAAAGTTTGCCGCAAGATCAATGTCTGCTTTTGGGGACTTTTGTTTTTAATATTTCTGAGCTGTGCTAGGTTGAATCTGTGGACACAGAACCATTGAGGGCCGCTTGGTATGTGATGTTTTTTGCTAAGAGGGAAAAAAGTCTGACTCAAGTAAATGCTCTTTGCAAGAAAACTGACCTTGAAAGGGGTTCTCCTTTGAATTTAGTACTCGTTAGGTAAAGAGCCATTTGTTCTGACATAGTAATCAGCCAAAAAGGGAATATTTTTGTTACATCATCAAGCTCTGTTCATGGAATATGAGGTCTCTTTTCAACACCTTGACATCACTCAACTGAGCAGTAAGGAGAGGCATCTGTTAAAATTGGACAGTGATCAAAGAAAGGAAAAGGAAGTCTCCTGCACAGCTTTCCCATCCTAATTGGAAAAGTTGCATGTAAAACCCGCTGTTTCCAGCCGGTGTTTTCAGGTGCTGGCTGGGTCTTAACGTTTTGGCTATTATTTATGTGAATTTTGGCACAATAGACTGATTAAATACAAATTGCCTTTCTTTACACTTTCAGGATCTTGCCTATTTGCTTCATAGCTCCTTCCTATATGCTTGTTGTCTTCTGATTTCTTTATTGCAGCCTCTGTTCTGATTGAAGTATTGAGCCAAGGTATCAAATGTTGTACTACTCCATTAGAAAAAGAAATCAGCTGTGTTTCATGCATTACAGAAAAGTCTTGGATTACACTATGTAACACGAAAAATGTTACTTCATAATAAGTTATATCATAAAAACATGGGACGGGGAGTTGTTTATTAAACTGCCAAAACTTGAAAGTTCAAAGCAGATAACATCATGTAACACGATTATTGTTCCTGGGTTATAAATATCATTTTGTAATTAGTTCTGTCATAAAAACATAGAAAAAGGTTTTTTAAACTGCAAAAAACTTAGTTTTTGCTGGACATCCTGCAACACATTTTGCTATAGTTTTTCGATGAATATCTCATAGAATCTCAAATAATTCAACTTAGTTTGTGGAATATAACAACTACTTTCAAACTACTTTCAAAGTAAGTATTGCACAATTAAACAGGAAATAACACTTTAAAACCAGGAACAGAAAACTTTTCAAGTTTTGTTACATAGAATCATATAATCCTAGAGTTGGAAGAGACCTCATGGGCCATCCAGTCCAACCCCATTCTGCCAAGAAGCAGGAATATTGCATTCAAATCACCCCTGCCAAATGGCCATCCAGCCTCTGCTTAAAAGCTTCCAAAGAAGGAGCCTCCACCACACTCTGGGGCAGAGAGTTCCACTGCTGAACGGCTCTCACAGTCAGGAAGTTCTTCCTAATGTTCAGATGGAATCTCCTCTCTTGTAGTTTGAAGCCATTGTTCCGTCCTAGTCTCCAAGGAAGCAGAAAACAAGCTTGCTCCCTCCTCCCTGTGGCTTCCTCTCACATATTTATACATGGCTATCATATCTCCTCTCAGCCTTCTCTTCTTCAGGCTAAACATGCCCAGTTCCCTAAGCCGCTCCTCATAGGGCTTGTTCTCCGGACCCTTGATCATTTTAGTCGCCCTCCTCTGGACACATTCCAGCTTGTCAATATCTCTCTTGAATTGTGGTGCCCAGAATTGGACATAGTGTTATAGAACATGGAGAAAAAAATGGATCACTCTTAAGGGAATGGGCATGCCATTCAATTGTCCCAATGAGTAACCTGAACTATTTTTTATCAGTTTGATACTAATTTATGCAATGCTTTTGATACGAAATAAATCTGCACTCAGAACAAGAGGCTACTATTAGGATAGACTGCAGAGTAGTTTCCAATTAGCAGAAGAGTCAGGCAAGGCTCCATTTTATCACCCTATCTATTTAGCTTTCGTGTTGAAAATATCATGTGGAAAGTTGGATTAGTCTCAGAGGAAGTAGGCATGAAAATTGTGGAAAAAGAAACGTCAATAATAGTTTGTGGTTTTTTAAATGGTTTATCAGTGTGCTGCTCATGTGATATGTGAAGCAGATTAGAGTCAGAAGAAGGGAATGTGAAAAGTAGAGGAATAATCATTACAGTTAATTGCTTTCTTTTAAAACTTTCCCCCAAAATCTGGGGGTCTCAAGATTGGTTTAATGAGTAAACGAAGTTTACAAGACTTCCAGTGGAAGCTAGTCTTGAGCTTTACCTTTCGCTAGTGCTTTCGGGGAAATATTTACATTTCTTTTATTTACATTTTTGTAAATATTTACATAAATATTCACATCTGTATTTCTGTAAATATTTAAATTTGTATTTCTGCAAATATTTACATTTGTATTGACGTAATATTTACATTCGTACTTTTATATTTATTTATTTAAAACTTTTATATCCCGATCTTCTCACCTCCGTAGAGGGACTCAGACCGGCTTACAGCAAGGATTCAATGCTACTAATACAAGTTAAAACATCATACAACAATGCACGATTAAAATACATATAGATAAAATACATATATACCAAATCACCAAGGTAAAATCATGTTCAACTCAATCCGCATATGTGGTCACTCACTTTGGTCTGTAATCAGTCTCAGCCATTATTCTGGGAATGCTTTGTTCCATAACCAGGATTTCACTAGCCTCCTGAAGGACAAGAGGGAGGGGCCAGATCTAATCTCGCTCGAGGGGCCACCACAGAGAAGGCCCTGTCTCTCGTCCCCACCAAACGCGCTTGCGAAGGTGGTGGGACCGAGAGCAGGGCCTCTCCGGAAGATCTTAATGTCCTTGATGGTTCATAGGGGAGAATACATTCGGACAGGTAAACTGTCCAAATATTTACATTTGTATTTATGTAAATATTAACATGTATAATTGTGTTTAGTGCTGTTTGTGTTTAATTCAGTGTTGTTGTTTGTATATTTGATATTGGGATAGTAATGCTTTTATGTCAAGCTGCTTTGAGTTCCCTTTGGGGAGATAAAGCGGAGTATAAATAAAGACAATAATAATAATTTATTTATTTATTTATTTACTTCGCTTGTATACCGCTCTTCTCAGCCCTTAGGCGACTCAGAGCGGTTAACAACAACAGTTTCAATATACACAGTACAAAATCATTGGACATTTAAAAGCATAGCGATTAAACATCAAACATCAATACATCAATTTAACAAATACATCACGTCTCATCAATAGAATCAAAATCCAGTCTCAATATCCATTATTCCGTGTTCCAATAATCAATTACACTGCCTAGTTGAATGCCTGTTCGAACAGCCAGGTCTTCACTCTCCTCCAGAATGCCAGTAGGGAGGGGGCCGATCTAATATCTGTAGGAATGGCGTTCCACAGCCAAGGGGCCACCACTGAGAAGGCCCTGTCTCTCGTCCCCGCCAGGCGTGCTTGTGAAGCCGGAGGGATCGAGAGCAGGGCCTCCCCAGACGATCTTAATGTCCTAACTGGTTCATAGGAGGAGATGCGTTCGGACAGGTAAGTCAGCCAGAACCATTTAGGGCTTTAAAGGCTAAAGCCAGCACTTTGAATTGTGCCCGGTAGCAAATTGGCAGCCAGTGGAGCTAGCGCAACAGTGGAGTGGTGTGCTCCCTGAGCGCCACTCCTGTTAGCATCCTGGCTGCCGATCGTTGGACTAGTTGGAGCTTCCGGGCAGTCTTCAGAGGCAACCCCACGTAGAGAGTGTTGCAGTAGTCTATATGGGATGTGACCACAGCGTGGACTACCGCGGCCAAGTCAGACTTAATATTTTAATATTGATATTTTAATAAATTTAATAAATTTAATATTAATAAATTTAATATTTAATATTTTAAATTTAATATTTTAATAAATTTAATATTTAATATTTTAATAAATTTAATAAATTTAATATCAATAAATTCAATATTTTAATAAATTTAATATTTAATATTTTAATAAATTTAATATTTAATATTTTAATAAAGAAACAGCACCATATATAAAAAAGTAAAAGCTCCAGTTCAGAAGACTGCGGAGCCCTAGCTTCACCTTTTCTTTTAGTTCCCCTAACTTCCCCAGCAAAACTGAAGGCACCATTGGTTTAGCTCTTAGAGCCGTTCAGCAGTGGAACTCTCTGCCCTGGAGTGTCGTGGAGGCTCCTTCTTTGGAAGCTTTTAAACAGAGGCTGGATGGCCATCTGTCAGGGGTGATTTGAATGCAATATTCCTGCTTCTTGGCAGAATGGGTTGGACTGGATGGCCCATGAGGTCTCTTCCAACTCTTGGATTATGTGATTTCCTGACTGTGAGAGCCGTTCAGCAGTGGAACTCTCTGCCCCGGAGTGTGGTGGAGGCTCTTTCTTTGGAAGCTTTTAAACAGAGGCTGGATGGCCATCTGTCAGGGGTGATTTGAATGCAATATTCCTGCTCCTTGGCAGAATGGGGTTGGACTGGATGGCCCATGAGGTCTCTTCCAACTCTTTGATTCTATGATTCCCTAACTTCCCCAGCAAAACCGAAGGCACCATTGGTTTGGCTCTTAGAGCCGTTCAGCAGTGGAACTCTCTGCCCCAGAGTGTGGTGGAGGCTCCTTCTTTGGAAGCTTTTAAACAGAGGCTGAATGGCCATCTGTTGGGAGTGCTTTGAATGCAATTTTCCTGCTTCTTGGCAGGGGGTTGGACTGGATGGCCCATGAGGTCTCTTCCAACTCTAGGATTCTATGATTCCCTAACTTCCCCAGCAAAACCCAAGGCACCATTGGTTTGGCTCTTAATTCTAACCTTAGGGGCCAGTAAGAGTTTTGGACTCCATTTCCCAGAATTCCTGACAGTTCATCAAGGTGACTGAGGCTTCTGGGAATTGAAGTCTCATGTTTCCGCAGCCCTCTGAATGTGCCTTTCACTTCCTGGTTTGCTCACGTGATTTTTCTCTGACGTCTGCTTGGGATGACTCCTCCCCTCTTCGATCCAGCCAATCAGAAGCGCAACTCAGATCTGGGGCGTTCCCAAGGGTTGCTACAGTCTATTAGAACAAACAGAGCCAGCGGGGAGGGAGGGAGAGGAGGCGCTCTTAAAGGGGAAGCGTCCCTTTTTGGAGTTGGTCGAGGGGGATCCAGTCGGTCGAGACTATGAGAGCCGGACGTGATCCCAAGAGGAGATCCCAGCCTTGGAATAGCCTTGTGTTGGCACGGAGGGGCTTCTGCTTAGGGGCGCTGCTCGTGCTGGGCCTGTGCTGCTGGGATGTGCTTGGAGTGGCCTCTCCTGACCAGGTACATCATTACAATATCAACAACAACAATAATAATAATATTTATTTGCTGCCAACCAAGCAGAGTAAATAGTTAAAAATACACACAGAGTGTCCCAAAAGTCTCCATAAGTATCAAAAAAGAATATTATATATTTTTAATATTTAATATTTTATTATATTTCTTGGTATTTGAATCATTTTGATTGCAATTTATATATTTTGCATAATTAATCGTTTCCTACATTGATCTGCAACTTCATACAGAGGGTCCCAAAAGCCTTCATACAGAGAAAGAGAAAAAAATAACAAAACATATATTTTATATATTTTATTATATATATTTCTTTTATTTTATCATTTTAATTGTGATTTATATATTTTGTGTAGTTTTGTATGTTTATCTCCAGCTTCATACAGTGTCCCAAAACCTCCCTCTATAGAAAAAAAAATCAAAGACATATTTAATATTTTTAATATTTATATTTTATATATTTTATATATTTTATATTATATATATATATATATATAAAGATATATAATTTTATCATTTTAATTGTGATTTATATATTTTGTGTAATTTTGTATGTTTATCTCCAGCTTCATACAGTGTCCCAAAACCTCCCTCTATAGAAAAAAAATCAGACATATTTAATATTTTTAATATTTATATTTTATATATTTTAATATATATATATATATATATATATATATATATCTTTTATTTTATCATTTTAATTGTGATTTATATATTTTGTGTCGTTTTGTATGTTTATCTCCAGCTTCATACAGTGTCCCCAAAGCCTCCCTCTATAGAAAAAAAAACCCCAAAGACATATTTAATGTTTTTAATATTTATATTTTATATATTTTATCATTTTAATTGTGATTTATATATTTTGTATAATTATTCATTTTGTACATTGAGCTACAGCTTCATACAAAGTGTCCCAAAAGCCTCCATACATAGGAAAAAATAACAAAGGGATATTTCATAGAAATTTCATATAAATTGCAGGCAAAACGTCAGGAGAAAATGCCTCTAGAACATGGCCATATAGCCCGGAAAAACCCACAAGAACCCAGTGACTCCAGCCATGAAAGCCTTTGACAATACAATTTATTGAATATTTTATTATATTTTTGTACGTTACAATTTTAATTGTAATTTATTTTGTACAATTATCTCTACAGCTTCATACAGAGTGTCCCAAAAGCCTCCATACATAGGAAAGAAAGAAATAACAATTGCATCCTTTATTTTATTTTTCATATTTTTGTATTAATATAGTTCCTCTATATTTTTAAATTTTAATTTATATGTTTTGTATTGAATTATTTGTACATTTTGCTCCAGTTTCCCTGTGTATAGTGACATTTGGAACACCCTGTAGTTAAAGTAAAGGACCATAAGAATATATATACTGCATAATATATATATAAATAGAGAGAGAGAGAGAGAGAGATAAAGATTAAAACACCAACACTATTAAAATCTAGATTAAACATTTATATTTAAATTCACTGGAACTCTGTCTTGATGCCCTCCCAAAGAAGTTAAATTGGGCCAAATCCCACCCAGATTTGTCTAACCCGCTAGAGCAGCTCTAAAATACAGGTTGAATCTCCAAATCCAAAATACCCCCAAAATGGGTAGTAATAAATAATAATAATAATAATAATAATAATAATAATAATAATAATAATAATAGTAAAACTTTATTTATATTCCACCCTATCTCCCTGAGGAGACTCAGGGCAGATTCCAACAAACAAAAATGAAAAAGTCAAACATTCAGTGCCTTATTTATTTATTTGGTCAGGAGCAAACCAAACAGTTTTATTGCTTTTTTAACAAACAAACAAAACAAACAAACAAAACACAAAGTTCAGTGCCTTGATATAGCCATAAATACAACCCCCCCCCCCAAAAAAAAAAGAAAGAAAAGAAAACAACAACCAAAGTTAAAGGTTTCTCCTTGACATTTAGTCTAGTCGAGTCCGACTGGGTGGTGGTAGGCATCTCCATTTCTAAGCCGAAGAGCCAGCATTTTCCTTAGACACCTGAAGGTCATGTGGCTGGCATGACTGCATGGAAAGCCATTACCTTCCCACTGAAGCAGTACCTATTGATCTACTCACATTTGCATGTTTTCGAACTGCTAGGTTGGCAGAAGCTGGGCCTAACAGTTCGTTCCTGATACGATAACTAAATAGTGGAAGATCACCTCATCCCGTGGATTTGAACCGCTGACCTTCTGGTCAGCAAGTTCTGCAGCTTAGTGGTTCAGCCCACTGCGCCACTGCAGCCCTGTACATAAATACAAACAAATATATCTACACTGTAGAATTAATGCAGATTTACACTTAACTTCCATGGCTGCAGACTGTGGAAACCAAGGGTTTGTAGTTTGGTGAGGCACCACCACTCTTTGGCAGAGAAGGATAAATAATAATAGTAATAATAATAATAATAATAATAATAAATAACTTTATTTATACCCCGCCACCATCTCCCCAAGGGGACTCAGAGCGGCTTACATGAGGCCAAGCCCAACAACACATCAGTAAAAACAACAAGCAAATAAACAGTACAATTAATATAACTCACATATAAACAATAACACAGAGAATTTAAAACCTTATGGCCGGGCCAGATATAATAAATTAATTTTTTAAAAATAAACACTGGGCATAAACAGAGGTAAGATGTATCTAAGCAGGAAGGTTTTAAAAGATAATGTAGGGAGACCAACCTAACAGGTAGTAAAGTGCTTCTGAGGACAATTGCAGAGAAAAAAACACCTTGTATAACTCCAACTCTCTTGAGACCATAGCACTGAACAAGGACAGTTCAAGGGGTGTCAAACTGCATTCGATCTACAGTGTTGACCAGGCACGGGCAAACTTGGGCCCTCCAGGTGTTTTGGACTGTTAGGAATTGTGGGAATTGGAGTCCAAAACCCCTGAAGCGCCCAAGTTTGCCTAAGCCTGTTATAGACACACCTTCATAATGACAGCTTTGCTTGCATTCATAATTAAATATTTAAAATATTGTATAAAGTTACCTTCAGGCTATGTATATGTCTAAGAAGGAGTATATGAAAGGCAAATGAAGTTTGCATTGAGATTTGCATCCCGTTTCTGTGATATCTATGTAAATGCAGATATTCCGAAATCCAAAACACAAGAGGCACTGAACCTGTATGGTTCTACCATCATTCGACAGACCATCTAATCAAGGGGTTAATCAACATGAGACTCAAAGGTACAGCTACACTATAGAATTAATGCAGTTTGATCCCACTTCAACAGCCATGGGTCAATGCTATGGAATCATGGGAGCTATGGTTTTACAGGGTCTTTCGTCTTCCGCAGACTACAATTCCCAGGATTCTCTAGCATTGAGACACGGTAGTTGTAGTTTTACAAGGACTTCTCTGCCAAAGAGTGCTGGTGCCTTACTAAATTACAAACCCCAGGATTCCATAGCATTGAGCCATAGAACTAAGGACTTTAACAACCTCCCTAAACTACAAACCCCAAAATTCTGCCAGAGGCCAAAACCGGATTTAAAGTGGATTGATTCTCTAGTGTGATGAAGTAGTAAGTGAGGCCAAACTGCATTAATTCTACAGTATAGATGCATTCTATATATGGCTACTCCATATATTTCAGAGAAAGGAACTGGCCATCTCCACTGATCATATAAACCAGTTTCTGAATGAAGGTTATGAACCTAGACAGCCATATAATCCAGTTTAAATCTGATAATCTGCATTCAGGAACTAGATTATATGATCAGTGTAGATGGCGCCTGAGTACTCCTTGCCTAAGGAGGGAATTTCACTAGCCAATTTGAATACACAAAATAGGATTCAGGCCAAAGGGGTTTTCAGTCCTCCTTTATTCATCCATGTAGCCATTCTTGTTTCTATAGTCATAGTATCAAGTAATTGCTAATCTTGAGGGTTTAAAAATATTTAAATGTATTATAATTAAATTTAAATTAATTTATATTCTGCCTTTCTCCCATTCTATATAAATAAAAATGTAATGTTTGTTTGTGGGATTAACATAACTCAAAAACCACTGGATGAATTGACATCAAATTTGGACACAAGACATCTCTCAGGCCAACAAGTGACCATCACTCATAAAAACCCTGAAAAACCCAACAAAAGAGACTTAAAAAGCAAAAAAAAAAAAAAAAGGAAGAAAGAAAGAAATACATTACAATGCATGCGCAAAACCACACACACATGCATATATACATGCAAACACACATATGTACACACAAAACTCATATACACAGACTGGGCCACAGCAACACGCAGCAGGGGATGGCTAGTCTATAATAAGCAGTTGCGTTAAAAAAGCATTGACTTACAGAAACTTTAAAAGTATTCAAAACATCGTGATAATGGTAAAATACATGGCATGCCCTAGTTTAAGGTTGTGCTGCATTCAGTGAACAAGCAAAGTCTTGGGTAAACAAGGAAATCTTTGCCTGGCAGTGGAAAGAAAAATAAATAGAGGGCCAATCTAGTTTTACTGGCTGGCAGGCATTAATAAATCCTCTCACCAATTGTGGTTTTGATGGTGGTAAGATCAAAAGGAAACCCTCTTTAGAGGAGCTTTTTGACCCAGATAGGTCCACATTGCGAGATACGCAATGTAGAACTTTGTAGGTTTTTGAATGGAGGTCGTTTCATATCTTTTTGTGGTCTGTGAGCTTTAAATCTATAAGACTCTTTGTCTCCTTTACCACAGCCTTTCGGATATTTATACATGGCTATCATGTTCCCTCTCAAATTTCTCTTCTGCAAGCAACTCTTTAAACCACTCTTCATAGGGCATGTTTTTGATATACTTAATTGTATTATAATACGACTCCTGTATCAGCAGAATATACTTTTTGGACTTGTATTTATGCATTTACCATATTTTGGAACCCTCAGTGGCACTGTGGATTAAAGCGCTAAGCTGTTGAATTTGCTGACCGAAAGGTTGCCGGTTCAA